AAAACTTTTATATATAAGAAAAAATATGTATTTTACTAATTATAATTAGTAAAAAATTTAAGTGTTGCATTATTTTTAATTGTCACTATATATTATTTATACATATATTTTTTTTCTGAATTGAATTAGAATTTTAATATAATATTTAATATATTATTATTAAATTTTTTTATATATTATTATTTTTTTTAATATAAATATATTGTTTTCTTTAATATTTTATAATTATTATACTTAAAATATAATTATTAATATAAATTAAAATAGAAAAGTTTATAATAATATCTTGTAAAAATCTTTTCAAATATAATAATTTATAATTAAAAATTAGATGAAATATAAATTATAATTTATTAAGATTTATTAAGAGTTATAAATAATATAATTTTCTTATTATATATATAGAATTTAAGTATATAAATATATTTATTTTTTTAGTAATATAATATTAATACAAAATTGATCTTATTAATTATATTGTAAATTAAATAAAAAAAATAAAAAGCAAGTCTAAAAAATATAAAACCATAAATTTAATTAAGTATAATAAATATGATGAATTAGAAAATTAATATTATATTGTACTAGTTTTAGTATATATAAATCCAATTTATAATATAATAAAGATTAAAATTTATTATTTATTAATTCAATATATTAATTATATTTTTAATAAATTTTCAAAATATAAATATAATTATATATTTAAAGATTTTATTTTTAAAGATTTTTCATATAATTAAAATTCATATTGTACTCGATTTAATATATCCAAAATTTCAAGAAATAATATATTCTAAAAAATATTAAAATACATAACAGATTTTTGTATATAAAAATATTTGGTTTTATAATTTTTAATGTATTATAAAGGCCTAAATCCGAACTATTAATAAATAATTTATAGTATTAAGTATTATTTGTTATAGATTTATTTTTAGTTATTGTCTGGATCGAAGGACTATATATTCTTCTACGATATGTGAAAAATGGTTGCCACTCCACGTGACTGGTTATAAATAAATAAACCAATTAAAAAAATTTATCGCTCCGGGGCTAGTATATATTGTCGAATTTGGTAATGCTGCCTGGAATAAGCCAAATCTGCATTATAAGATAATGCATCTCATAAAATGTATTCTCGAACATGTGTCGTTTTTCTCGTCAATTTGTAAATCTAGCCCCACATGGCTTTCTTAAAGATAAAGTGTCTTTAAATTTAGCTCAACAAAATACTTTATTTATTCTTAAAAGGGGGAATAAAGCGTTTAAAAATGTGTATACGCGTTCACTTTGGACAAGTTTAAAAGTTCATGATGGTGGTAGTAGTTATGCTAAAAGTGTTAGTTATGCTCAACATCTTCAAAGAAGAAACTTGAACCAAGATACTAATGCTGCAGGTGTATGGGATCCTTTTCCGGGTAATTAGGATAAATTTGTGGTTTTTTGAGTTTGATGAGATTAACTATTACATTATTTTACACGAAATCAAATTAATTAAATTAGATCCGTTTCAACCGATTGTTGAGAAATCAGCTGAAACAGCATTAGAGGAAGATAATGATCATCCAAAAGCCAAAAAGCAAAAAGAACCACAGCATAAACAAAAAACTGGATTTGCGTCACTTATGTCACCACGCGTTATGGATGCAGTATTAACAACTGTAATGGGATTAGCAGCTGTGGGACTCGGTGGTGTATTCTATCAGACATGGTTGGTTAGTTAATTTCTGAAAACTCATCATCAATGAATATTCTTCTTTTTATTCACAATCATTATAATAATAAGGTATGAATGGAGCGAAGTGCATAAAGTATTATTGGCTTTCACAAATAAATCACCATTATTGAAATCACGACTCAGCGATAATTATTTCCCAGACGGGGAGAAAGATAGAATTAATCGTGTTGTAGCTGGGCAAACTCAATCTAAATATTATTTACTGGTTGGTGAAAAAGGAACCGGGAAAACGCAATTGGTTTTGAATGCAATGGATAGAATTGGACATTATGGTGTGGTATTTTGCGAGGCACATTCTGATAGTGAGGTCTTTAAGGCGAGGCTCGGAAAAGCGTTGAATTATACTTATCGAGAGGATTATGTTGGAGGATTATTTGCAAGAGAGGCTCCAGAAAGAGGTGATAACTTTTTTTATTCGACTTGTATTAAAGTTTTCTTCGTTGATTTTTTATACAACTAATACTTAATTGGGAAATAGGATCCGCATTGCTTGATGTCGAGAAAGCTCTTAATATGGTGGAAATTGTTGCATATGATTATTTGAAAAGAAAAGGGAGACCTTTAGTGTTGATTATTAATAATATTCACGCATTTAAAGATGACGAAGATGGCACCGACTTATTAGAATTAATTCAACAGCGTGCAGAAGCTTGGGCTGCTTCAAGGATTGTGACGATGGTCTTCAACACGGATGATTATTCGGTGTATGAGCGAATGAGTAAGTCAAAGTTGTCAATTTTATATAATTTCTTATCATTATTGATTTCTTAAGTTTTATAGAAAGAGATGCTTCTCGAATGGAGGTTATAAGAATATCCGACCTTAGTTATGAAATGGCTGTAAAATATCTAAAAAGTCGACGCACAAAAAATAATTTTCATGAATCTGATGAGGTGATTGAAAGAATTGTTCGCGATCGTGTTGGGGGACGCCTCTCTTTCTTAAATCGATTAGCAAGGGCATCGGATCTTGAGCGTGTGTACTATTTTCTCAATTTATAATATTTTAATATTCTATTTCAATTCGTTTGATTATCGGTTCTTATTTTACAATTAGATACGATACAAACTATCGAAGAAGAAGAATATACGTGGATTGTCAACACGATTGGTCTGATACCCGATTTCGAAGAATCCGAATTCGACGAACAAAAATATGCAGCCGCCGCATGGAAACTAATTCGTGCAATAGTGCGGTCGCCCACCAAAGCTATACCACTAAACGAGTGCCGTGTTATTACCGGAAATTCGCGTTTCCTTCGACAAATGGATCACGATGGAATTGTGGTGATTGACATACAGAATAACGTAAAAGCCGATTCGAAAATTCTATGGAACATTTTTAACAAGATTGTGAATAGCGAGGATTTCGATGATAAGTTGCAGAATGTGCTTGATCGAGTGGAGGAGGTGGATAAAGAGCAACGAACTAGAGAGTTGATCTGGAGTCGGAAAAATGATCAAGTTGTTCGATGGGGCTCAGAGAAAAAATCCGGATGGTTTTTCTGATCGAATAACTAATTGTGCATTTTTTATAGAAGATAAACAATTTTGGCTTATAGAGAATCATTATTATGATTTATTTCTTATTTAAAATATACAGTGCATATAACAAAAAATTTTGAGATGCTGATCTATATTATATACAGTAGATTATAATTAATTAAAATTAATAAAAATAAATTTATTACTTTTATTTATCATTATTATTAATATTAACACTAAATAATAAAGTGATTAAAATACTTATTTAATAATAAATTTGCCTAATTTGAATTGTTATTATTTTGTCAAAAATCGATTTATAAGAAATTTATTATAACAAGATTTTATATTTATTATTTTTTAAATAAGAAATAACAATTTAAAATTTCAATAAAACTTGTATAAATATTCTTATATACTTTATAATATTAGTTTTAACTTTACATATACAGTGACAATCAAAAATAATGCAACGCTTAAATTTTTTACTAATTATAATTAGTAAAATATGTATTTTTCC